AACGATTGCATTTTGCATTTTTACCCTCTTCCTGTCCAGTTCAATGCGATTTCCTCTACGTTCCTCCTCCCATTATTTTGAAACAATACACCTCAGCATGCGCTAGGTCTCAATCTCCTCAATGTGACAACCTCTGCTTGTGAAGTGTCCTAAATCCAGAGAGGCTAGAAAAGCATGAACAAGTTAACACATGTTGCACAATGCTATTCCTTTCTTAATTCTTCTGAAATCGCAAAAAATAACAAGAAATGTAGAGTCAAGTAGATTTGTCGCTTGCCCGCGCAGATGCACGCCCGCGCGCTATTCCTGCAACAGACTTACGCATACCGGACCGTCGAGCTTGGATATTTTTAAAGTAGTTTCCTCTAACCCGTCTTTCGCTCTCCCAGCAGAAAATACCTATAAGAGGACTGCAGTACTCAATAAATCTATACAGTAAAAGATGTCCCATGTCTTCTTCCCGATAGACTATATCTCAAAAGATATAAGCCACAGATGCACTTAACGCAAACTTCACATAGCTTTAATTCTCGCAATAAGACAATAGTGGATACAAACATGATAATGACAACAATAAGGCAGAACAACAATCAAAGAGACTTGGGCCATAAAATAAGCCGCAGACGGTCGCTGGTTCCTTTCTGCTCGTGAATTGTCCTCCAGCTGGCTCCTCCTCTCCTTATAAGGCCACGGACAGGTATCGAAGTGGTACGGTCTGTAAGCATAAAGCATGAGATTCAGTATTCTCACAATACGTCAATACGACTATTATATAAAGTCATACTATACAATTATATTTCAGCACGAGAGTACTTTCATGTTTTCGTACGATGGAATGAAAATAGCCACAAATTACATTAACCGACAATAGTTGGAAAATCTGTGATTTCTGTGATGAATGATAATACGATGCCAAAAGGAGAATACGAAAAAAATGCGTTGAAAATATCTCTGTAAGATGGGCGATCCAGCTAGAATTCTTTCAGGATGAACGTGCGAGGTATGCAATACATAAGCGAACAATGAGATCTACCGCACTGTTATTTTTGCATGAATAACAGCAATAACAGCTTGAGCAGTCAAAAGACAGCTATTACAGAAAAGGATGGTGGTGATTTTTGGAATAAAAAAATTTAGATTTTTATAAAATCCAATTCAAAGCGCTCCCTGCCGCTCAAGGCGTCAGGAGAGCGATATGTGTGAATATAACGGAACTGAAAAATGATTGAATGGGTACAAATTTTTGTTATTGTAAGAGCGGCGTACTGTAGGAGCGTCGTACTTTGAGTTGGAATGTAAGCTTAGAATTTCCCATAACTAAGATTGACTCATC